CAAAGCTCTGCCCCCTCCCAATAAACAGATGCTCTAATCTCTCTCTCAAACTCTCTCTTTCCTCCACTGATCACCTGCTCCCACTGCCCAGATTAGAAAGAAACTAAGATTTGCCTTTCCTGCAGATATTACACTTTCAGCGGGAACCCAACTCAGCTTTTTAAAAAAGTTACCTTTTCTATTGACTTGGTTCCTAACTCGGTACCCTCCGCAGAAGACAGCTGAAAAGTAGCTCTCCAGGGCTAGTGAACAGTAACAGCGGGGGTGGGGGGTGGGAAGCACTACTTTTAACTAAAATGGTAGGAGGGGAGCCAAGATAATCTGTGGAAGCCCCAAATCAGGCAGAGCCTGGTAGCGCTTTTTCCAGCTAGCATGTGTTATTAAAAGGCACCAGCTTTGGTGAATTAAAGGCTGAGGTGCCGAAATACTGGCTATTTTCCCAGGCCGTGGAACAGGGTGGTGGGTGAGCCCCTGTAAGATCTTGTTGGTACGATTTTGTCTGTCCTATGCAATCTCTCCGGATGCCTATAATTTCTTTCTTTTTCATTGTTCCGGCTGTTTTATTATGCAAAGTACCCGGTGCCTCTGAGAACCGGGCCTTTTTAAATCTGTGTACATAAATAAATAAGCAAATTGCATCTCGCTCCATCAGATACACGAGTGGCTACCGCATCCGATGAAGCGAGACGCAGTCCATGAAGGCTTAAGCCTTTTCATAACATTTGTTAGTCTGAAAAGGAGCTACCAGACTCCTCCTGATAATTAACTAGCATCAGTCATAATACTAATTGGGACTCATTAGGTGCTGTTATGTTATACGTGATTAGCCATTCACGGCGAGGCCAACTTCTGTAGGGTTCCAACATGGCCGTGGACGTCCAACAAAAGCCCCCCAGCCTCCCGTCCCCGCCCCAGGGAAGCCCACGCACATCCACAACGGCACAAGCCGAGGCCCAGGACCATCGCGAGCAACGCTCCTGCTTTCCGACCTTCTCGCCCTCTTGCCCAACGTGGGGAGACACTGGGCAAGCTGGTATCAGAGAAAGAAAGAAGCGGAGACAGAAAACTCGGCCCAGCTTCCCCAGGGAAATTGCAACCGAAATCCCATTATTGTTATTGTCATTGTTATTGTTTAATATAGCCGCCCATTCCAGCAGCCTCTGGGCAACTTACAAAATATAATGATAATTAAAACAATTAAAAACATAAACGAAATGAGACAAGACAGCCTGGACGGAAAACAGCCATTAAAACCAAGCACCGCAGCCGCCCGCCCCCCCCCCCAC